ATTTCTATTTTCATTTTTGTTTATCTTCTCTCTATGAACAATGGTCATATTCACATATATGCAAATGACTTCAAGTTGAATTTATCTAATCAATCAAAAAAAATTGAAGATTTTTTATGTATAAATGAGAACATACAGAACATTTCAGTTCATTTGAGAGATCATGGTTTAGAAATCAATCCAACAAAAACATTTGCTTTGTATTTCTGATGCAAACCATAAGTTATTCACATTAAGACTCAACATTTCTTTTACATAATGCTACGTACTTTACTCGGGTGTAGTTAATGGTTCGTTCTCTGGATTTTCATGAACATGTGGGAGTAATGACCATTTCGCATGAGTAGAATACAATACTTTTTCTATAACTTATATCAGGAATATATCAAAATAAGGATGTGAAGGATATTCCGAATGAGAATAATATCATTAAATTTCATAACGGTGAACTGAAAAATAATTCCTCTTAGTGTTATCGTATTCAATTTCCAATATGCTGAGTATTGTGTGGTTTAAAAAATTATGAAAGTGCCGTCGTTAGTGAGATTTTAAGCCAGAAATATATGGTATATAAGTCCTGTGTTGCAACAACTACTCCACAATGACTCATACCTCTATATGAAGTCGACATACAACTATTCGAGTTTCCAACTACTCTATTTTATTTATAAATGAGGAACTTTTGAAAACTATCAATTTTTCTCACAAATTTCTGGAGGGGCACTCTCGTTTTCACAGGCGTACAGGCTGCGTCTGCTTAGGGCACATGATTCTCGGACCCAATAATCACGTACCTCACGGTGTAGGGGGTGGGTTTTTGGTTGATGCTGGAGCGCCCTCCCGAATGTACCGGGATACAGCGCAACCTCCGGGAATAATAATAGTTATAACTTATTATCCAACAGTTGTCCATTAATTGGACAAATCATAAAGAAAATATCATCGAACTAGAAATTAACAACTGAAAGTACAAAATTTCTCATTTTTCATAACAAAATGTATAAATTACATATATTTATAACGACAGTAAAACAGATTCAGAAAGAAAAAAAAATGAAAAACAGACAATATCCTCTGACATGTTGAAAAATGAATCACAATGCAAACATTGTATAAGGGAGATTTCAAAAGAATATTTGTCCTTCCTCCCGAAAACCTGAAAATGAGAGAAATTCGGGGCATAAACGATGAAACATTCAACTTTTCATGCTCAAGGTCAGGGCACTCCATCACATTTATACATTGTTAGTTGGAATTAGTCAGGGAAGCTATGGATTAAACTGTAGACGACCCCTCCCGATATAGAACACAGATCTTTTTGCTCGTTATATTACAGTATTAAGGTGGAATTAACTTGATCATATTCCATGAAATACTAATAAAAAAGACTTATCTAACTAAAATCATTCCATATTATAATCGCATACTTTTAACCGAACATAAGAAAATTCGACAGAAAAGTACAATGAATTTTTTGATTTCAGATTGACAAAATATTTACACTTCCTCACTATAAATCCATAAATCTAGTACCTCCTTAGAAGGTTATTATGATATTTTTCCTTGTGGAGTTTATTATTTTGCAGTTTTCCACATTAAAATTCATTTTGCCGGTGCCATACCATATTTGAAATAAGTGTAGGTATGTTTGAAATCTATATAGTTCTGCAATCAATTATTCTTGTGTACAATTTCAAGTCACCACCAAAACGTAAACATTGTACACAAATCATTTATAAACAATAGAAATAGGAGAGACCTGAAATTTGAGTCCTGATACCAGATATTGTTATTAACTGAAAACTGACAACACTTTATAGTCATATCAGAAGTATTTTGCAACAGTCTTTTGAAATCTGAATTTTTTGGAAGCGATGACAGAACTATTTATATTGATTGAACAATATATATTCAGTATTGCAAGACTTTATAACGAAAACATTCTTCATATAAATATTATTATAACAAGAGTACATCAGATATTCACGTAATAACTATGGCGTCAAAGTTAACCTTATTTTTGATTGATATACTGAAGATGAAACCAAAGCATGGGAGAAATATAGCAGATATCTAAGTTATACTTCATTCCATATAGCATTATTTCCTATCAATGAACTTGCCTAATGTTATTTTGCTACATCATCTGTCTGAGGTAACGAACTGAGTTGTATAGCGTTTTTGGAGATATACAAAATAACAATTAAATCCAGTAGGTAGGTACTCGTTAGGTTTTTATTTGGCGGAGTTCAGCTTACGCAATTCTACCACTCATCCAAGATTATTTTTATACATTGATGTACAAATAGTGATACACTAACATAACTTAAAAATGATACCTAATTCAAGTTTATACATTACTAGCGAACCGCCTCGGCTCTGCACGGGTGCAATGCTGATACTAAATATACATATGAACACGCCGGATTGTTGCTAATCATAAAGTGCTGTAGTGTAGGCGCGGTCTTCAACGCTCTATTTATAGGCACGCGCCGCCAGCCCCCAAAGGCGGTACCGCCGCAACCGCTATGTCCCTGTATTTTAAATCCATAATATCTTCAAAAATATTCATTTAAATTACATGCTGTAAAGGGCCATATCAATCTATATTAAATGCACAATGTATTTAAGATACTAAATTGTGTAAGGGCCAATAATTAAAATCGCTTCTTAAAAAATAAAAAATGGTTATTGTAGGTTATACCTAAGAGAAAGACATACCATCGCGGAATATATCTGTAGAGTAGGGAGGGTGAGTGAAGGCCCACAGCACTTAGGACACATTGTACATCCTCCCAAGGAGTTGTCTTCCTAGGTCATCGTACATCCTGTCCTTTCCAGGAAGGTGAACAGGTCACTAGGAGATATCTCCTTAATATTGGTAGGTTAGGCCAAGACCCGCCGAACACATACCGTCTTATTGACGATAATTCCGGACACTCGCATAGGACATTCCTGACAGTTTCATCTTCCTGTTCGCACATCCTGCATAGAGGTGTGTCCATTAGCCTCATATTATGGTGGTGTTTTCTAAGTTGACAGTGACCAGTCAGAAATGCTACTGTTGAGCGTAGATTTTTTCCTGGTCATCGCCAGATATTTGTTCGGCGCCCAGAGTGATCCTGGCAATATTTAACCCACCTCAGGATAATATTATTATCTACCGAGTCTTTGGCTGAATCTTGGTGGCCCTCGTACTAGCCCCGAGGTAACACGTTGTCTGTTCAAGGCTAATAGGGCTTGTCTGCTATCAGTGCAGATTGTAATATTTTTGCCAGAAATTCCTATCTTGGTTATTTCTTTTGTGGCGATTGAGATACCAGCCAGTTCTGTTTGAACCACGCTGGTATTTTTTCCCATTCCCCACTTAATCATTAGGCTTAGTGTTCAGGAGTACACTCCACATCCTGAGCCTTCTTTGGTTTTTGATGCGTCTGCATATATATGAGTATTGCATTTGTAGCATCTGACTCTACCATCGCGGACTTTTTTGTAGATCAGGTGTACAATACTGTAGTACATTATTTTAATCTAGGGTTCAGCCAGCGTTTGCAAAGTAAACACGTATATTTACGACATTACATTAGAAACCTAAAAAATTATCAGTGTTTATCTACTATATTATGCATATTATATACAAATAAACTTTTCTCTTGAATCACTCTATCTATTTAAAACACCCGCATCAAACTCCGTTGCGTAGTTTTGAATATCTAAGCATACATAGAGACAGACAGTGGGAAGCAACTTTTTCATACTATGTAGTGAAATAAAGGAGGTACATGTGAGTGAATTCATTAAAAAAAACAATCTAATGTAAAATGAATTAAATAATTCAATTAGTGTAATTTAATTTAGTCAGATTCATTGTTTGCCGAGGAGGATGGGCCTTCGTTTTGATTTTAAACGCAGAAAGAAAACATTTTTAATTATTCTGGATAAGACTATAAGAGAAAGAAAGCACAAAAAGATAGAGGGTGACGCGGAAGGGATCGCATACTAATATTACGAAGATTTCTAGAGTGATGTGGAATAATTTTGGAATAGAGGAATTCTGAACATCGGTTTGTTAAAAATGTATGAATACAGCATGGTAGATGATGTTTCGTTCTCTTTAACATTTTTAGCCATCGATATTGTTCATAAATGTTGTTACACCATCTTTTAAGCAGAAATATTAATCTGTCACAGGCATTCTGCATTTTTATGGAAAAAGTTTTTAGATCAAAGCACGGGCCATAGAGAATATCACCGTAGTAGAAAATTGATGATATGGCAAGTTGAATCTTCAGATGTTTGATTAGGAAATGTATGCGAGGGCAAGATGCTTCAGTAAACCATATGCTCTAAGAATCTGAAAGTCAATATGACTAATGAACCTCAAATGGCAATATATTGTTAACCCTAACCTTTTTTTCGCCATATTCCAATACGTGATTATTCACAAATATTTACAACTTGTCTATGGATCTAATTAGGTCTCTTTTATTATAAAAAATTATGACTGATGATTTATTTCGGTTGATGTTCAGCAGATAAAACTTCATCAATTTTTGTGGAGAAAATTAGGTTGCTGTCATTAGCATAAGTATGCATTCAAAAATTCTTCAGTGCGTTAGAAAATTCAGAGGTGTAAATAATGAGTAGGGTAACGAATCATTTGGAGTATACTTCAATATCTACGATTTCACATAGTTCATCATAGTTCCGAAATCGATATATCCAAAAAAGATAACTCGTTGGTGGCGTATTTGTTATGTGAATATCTAATCTGGATTTTTTTCAAATCCATGCAAATCTGTTTTTCATTATGATTAGTATCATACGTATTGTGTAAACAATATAAACAGTTTTGTGTCTTTTTCATAAAGTTCATGATTCCAAATAATATAAATCAAAAATTTAAAATGGAATTAAATTCGGGACTGTTTCGGAAAACTTCCGAGGAAAAGACGTTTATTCGATTACTTATAATAATTATAGAACATTCTAAAACTTACTCCCACAAGTCCTTTTGGGCAATTTTGCATGCACTGTTTGTTCCTTCCAAAACCAATACTATACTTCGGACACACAGTACAGAGCCGGGGATCCTCATCGCTGCAAGCTAGACACGAATCGCTGCAACACTCTCCCTTATTGTTGCATGCTTTGCAATTACCTGAACATACTTTTTGGCAGTGTTTTTTGTTCCAACATAGAAACTTGTCTTTTTCGAATACTTCACTCTTAGTCCGTGCTTTCGGGCAAGAAACGCTAATACTATTGTTTTCACGGGTCATCCCATCGGTATGAGATGGACATACCGGACACTCATTCTCTGGCTTGAGACTTTTCACGAAATTTCTTTCAGTTTTATCATGGACGATGTGGTCCCAATCCACGGTATGCACGAAACACAAAGACGGATTTTTATCGATACGCACAAAACCGTGTGTGATGTCAGTTAAGGAATACAAACCAATTTCTTGTAACGTGGACATTTCAAATATCACAAAGGCGTTATCGAGAAACGTATTTTGACCACGGATTACGGCTAAATTTGGAAATAGATGTCCTAGGCTACGCAGTCCATTCACTCTATATAATAACAAATAATCGGTTATTTCAGTCAAAAGGGGGAAGCTCATCTTCGACAATTCCGTTTCGTTGACACTGTCGAAGAGGAGGATTTGAAGGAAGCCTTCTATAACTTCACATTTTTCCAGTTTCGAGAATGAATCCAGTGAATTTCTAATATCCATGCTTTCACAAACTGTAACAAAAGAAAAATTAAATTAACACAAACTATCATTTCTAAAAGTGAAATCTACGAACAATAAAAGAGTTCAAAACCAACATTGTTTTTCAATCATGAACTTTTGAAGTAAAACTTCTTTACGCGCTTGACTTGAGGAGTAAGCTGGTGAATGCGTGACGAGAGCGTTACGAAAAGTGTGATCGGGAAATACGTACGGAAGTTGAGAGGGAGATATAAGTTATTGAAGAAAGAAAGAGGGAGTTACGTTTCATATATTACTGTAGGGATGAGAGAGAGGAAGAATTACTAGAATACTATCATACGTTACTTCTAAATGTATCAATGAAAAACCATAATGAATTTGATTATTTGTTTTACACCTGTGTATATAAATGAAAGGGAATTCGACAACTAACATACAAGTTCTGGTGGACATCAGATATTGACAGTTGCAGAATGGATTTAGTACAAGTGAGTTTGAAACAATTAGGCAGGCAACCAGCCAGAACAGTTTATGCAATGAATCCCAGCTTTAGGGAGTTAGTTCAAAAGGTCACATAAATATTAAAACTTTGTAAGATTGCACTGGCTAGACTTTAGTTATCAACGATTCTAACTGAAATATTTCAAGAGATGCAATCTAACAAAATATCCGTACAGTCAATTTGCATGTCCTTGGATAAATGGTCAAATTTACACATGACCCCAAAATATGTTTCCATTCAACAGCACAAAATGGAAAAATTGTCAGTTTGGAAAACATACAGTATTACCGAAATTTTTGAAAAAATACTAGAATGAGAACGATGGGGTCTACGATTTTGTTATAACTCTGAGAAAGGCAAGTAAATGAAGGCCTTTTACTCTTTGAAAATCTGGAAAAACACAAAAACTTGAAGTCGCTGGCAAGAGCTTAACTTATACGAGCGTATTTTCATGATAGATCCAACTATTTGCGTATTTGTTGATTTTCCAGATTCCCAAATATATCAGTAATATCCACCACTCCTGATAAATAAACATTTGATGAATCAATAATTTGGCTTACAAATAAAATACACAGCAGAACAAACATACGGGGGGTGTAGTTTTTGAAAAAACATACGGCAGGTCTCATTAACTTTTTTGGCAATTGTGTGATATTTTATAGAACTCGTTTACATTCAGTTTTGGAAAAAAATGTTCTTTTCGTGAATGAAATTAAGTTATACTTTTTAAAATTTGCCATCGTCGAATACACACATATTGTTATAATGAAAGGCATATAATTAGCTGATTTAAGAAATCCATATCTATACTCTATACTAATATTATAAATATGAAAGTTTGTAGGATGGATGTATGTATGTTTATAGCTCTTTCATGCCTAAACGACTGAATGAATTTAGATGAAACTTTAAATAAATATAGTTTAAACATCAGAATAACATATAGGCTACAATTTACAAAGGTTTTGTGTAATTTTGGTCACAATATAACGATAAGTATTAAGTAAGTCTTGGCGTGCGCTGCCTATACCGTTGGAGTTACATGCAGCATCCGCGATAGCATATATCTACCTCTTATGTGGGTAGCCACTATATGCAAAAATACTGAGCCATGAATACAATTGAATTGGATACTTTTTTTCACAATGCACATTTAAGAATATCGGTCAAATTCTTATAAAAATTGATACAATTGTCGTTTTAAGTATTAAGTAAAATTACTAAAAACCTTTCCACTCTTATGTATCCAATTTTCATTTCATTCGATTTCCAGTTTCGCCATTATTGAAAACAATGAAGTGACAAATAACTAACCCCAAAGACAACATTGACAGAATGACAATCGTCATCATAGATAAAAAACCTTTTTTTGTGAAAATGACTACGGTAAAACAACACATTAACAAATAATATTTTTATTTCGATTTTCTATCGCATATAGCAAATTGACAAGACTATTAACGATAATAGGCATAGTATGAAAATAGTAGAACAAAAGTATTATCAGCTTTGAAATATATCAAATTGAGTAATAGACTAGTGAAACGAATATACTGAAAGCATAAATATATCTGTCATCTCCATGTTGCCAATTATTACGCTAAATCGGCTAATAATTCAATAAGTGCAAAAGTGTGTACGATTGTTACCAGTGTTGTGACAGATAATGCAGCTATGATGGTGGACATTAAAAAAATAATGCAGTCATTCTGATTACACTATAATTACGAATGGTTGTGAGCGTCTTTAGGTTGCTAACTAAATATTCATATTATGAAACAGTAATGAACTTTCAATTTATGTTCTATACTGTTATGACTCAACAAAGTTCTCTTAAACTTCAAAACTGATGGAATTCAATACAATCTTTGAACACCTGTTTTCCTCCTTGAGGGGTGGAAATTCCCGATTTCCTTTCTTGATGCTTATATACGCTATACAAAGAACCTACCTGCATATTTCAAGATTCTAGGTTCAGTAGCTTCGGCTGTACGATAATATAAGAGCGAGCAACAGCTAGTAATTTATATTTTTACTTTAAAAATACAGTAACTTAGAAAATATGCCAACTGCACTAAGTAATGAATAGGTTCTAGAATCTTCTAGAATGGTTCTAGAATGTTACCTATAAAGAAATTTGCAAAACTAACACAACCGTCAAGGACGTCTGCCTTCACGCGTCTGCCCGCGTTCGGGTCGTGTTATATTATGACCAAAATTACACAAAACGTTTGTAAATTGTAGCCTATATGTTATTCTGATGTATAAGCTGTATTTATGTGAAGTTTCATCTAAATCCGTTCAGTTGTTTAGAGGTGAAAGAACCACAAACATACATACATCCATCTTCACAAACTTTCACATTTATAATATAAGTATAGAGTACAGATATAGATATCTTAAATTAGCCAATTATGTCTTTCATTATGACAATATGTGTGTATTCGATGATCTCAAATTTTAGAAAATATAACTTACGGGAGATGCTTGTTCTGCTGTGTGTTTTATTGGTAAGCCAAATAATTTATTCATCAAATGTTTATTTTTTAGGATATTACTGATATATTTGGAAATTTGGGAGATCAACGAATACGCAAATAGTTGGATCTATCATGAAAGTACGCTCGTATAAGTTAAGCTGTTACCAGCGACTTCGTTTGGGTGGATTCGAAGTTTTTGTGTATTTCCAGATTTTCAAAGAGTTGCCTTTTACTTGCCTTTCTCAGATTGATGACAAAATCGTTTTACAAACGATTATATTCATCGCATTTAAATCGGATGAGTCGATTTTGAGATTAGCACGCACGACACACAGACCAACAGACAAATAGACAAAAATTTTGAAAATCATTGTAACACTTTCATTATAAGTGAGTAATTGATGGTGTCCAGTTCAGAGAGAACTAGCGGGGTGAGAGAACAAAATTATTTGCCTGTTGTAACCTGACTGGAAAAATGAAATTTCCTCTGAGAGGAAACTTACACAAATGTCTCGTGGAAATAATTCAATGTCCGTCGTGATATCAGTCAAGAAAGCTAGGAGAGATAAATATTTCGAATTTAATTGAAAATAATCATTTTCTAATGTTATATGAAACCTCTCATAAACAGAATAAAATAAATCAGATTGAAAAAAAAACAATTTATGAAGTGAGTAAAGTAACTACATTTCTTTCAAAAAATTCAAGCATATAAGCTAGTGGCGTGGGGAATATATAGGTAGTAGTATTATCAAGGAAAATAATTCAGGAAAATTTTTGTATACTCTAATTCCTTTGTACAGGGTGTATTTCAAAAATTAAGATAAAAAGTGTTTTTTTTTGTAATTCAATTAATCTACCTTATTTCCTGAAGACGCCAAATTGGTTGGTGAATCACGCGAAGAGAAAAGTGTTGCAGTTCTGGTGTTTGGGAACAGTGCCTGTTTTGGGTGAAAATTCTGTTACAGAAAAATATTCCCTACAAGAATCATCATATTGCAGATTGAACAGCATACGAATTGCTTTTTTCTGAATTATAAAAGTGGATTAGGAAGCATTTTATTCCGTAATGTAATCAAATGGAAATTAACATAATACACACAATTATGATATGTTTGCTTGTATAGTTCTCATAATAAAAATAGCAGTTGGCAGTTCGGACTGCCATTGTCTAATATAATATAAATTGATTTGAAATTCCTGAAAAATATTCAAAAGATTAACTGAAAATAACAATTTTATTTGAACAAAAAAACTGAAATTAAAACCAAACAACAACCAAAAAAATAAAAATTTAAATATTAATAAAAGCTGAAAATTAAAAATTATTATTAAGAAAAATGAAAATTAAAAGAATCCAAACAGAAATATGTCACGACGTTTCGATTGTTAGTATCCACAATCGTCTTCGGGTGATAACTGGACTTATTCTCGAAATCCATCTTGAATTTAGTCAGGTTGGAGCCTGGCTCCCTTACCCGTTGAACTGATGTTTGCCAGAAGGACAAACGGGTCATAACTGATGTGGGTGTGGACTTATGTGGACTTATTCCTCCAAGATACGACTATTTATAGGCCATTCGGGTGCTTTCACCTATCCCCTCTTCTCTCTCTTCGCTTCATTGGTTTCAGCGGTTTTCAGGAATTTCAAATCAATTTATATTATATTAAACAATGGAAGTCCGAACTGATGAAATACACCACGAAACATTGTCAACCACCTTCAAACAAACATTGATTCAGAATGCTGGTCCAAGAATAGAACACTGAGGAGCATGAAATATTTTGGAGATTACTGTCACTGCCCTTCTTCAAAACCGAATACTTCAGGAATCATACAGTTACCAAATTTGAAAAAATTATGACATCATTACACTAGAAGTGAAAATGAGAAGATTCCAGATTTTCGTGATTAATTTCAAACAGTGTTAGTTCAGTGTTGTAATGGATCCATGTTGGTTCCGTTGTTACAATGCCGTATAATTAGTCAGTAAATTATTGAATTTATGAATTTTGCCAATAAATAAGTTGAATGGTTATATATTCT